AGCCACCTTGGCTGCTGTGGGCAGAGAAATGATTGCAGCCTGCAGCAAATTGTGTCCCTCACTAGCCCCTAAGAGCCTTGGAATCAGAGAGAAATAACACTAGAAGGAAATTTAGAGTCCATCCAGTCCAACACCCTTATTTAGCAGATGGGGTGACTGAGTCCCAGAGGAGTGGATAATGACTTGCCAATGACACAGTAAGTCTGGTGTAGCCTCCTGAGGAACTCCACCAGAAGACTGTAAAATAGTAGAACATTCCACACTGAGTACTTTACCTAACAGAAAAGGCAGAAAAAACTTTCAACATAAATTGCAGGCCTTAATGACTGATAATTATGTTAAAGGGTTTATCTTATCTGCAACACAGAGGACATGGCAAAATGAGAATCAGGATTGGGAAGTAATCAGTACAGATTCTTAGACCTACCCTCTGGGCATAGTTAAAACTGATTACAAATAGAAACAGATATTTGGATTTACCATGAAAATCTCGCTGGCCCAAAAGTTTCTCATTGATAATCAACTGCAAGCCAGAAATATTTTGTGTGCATTTTAACATATGTACCTAATACAACAAAGATATGTTCCGGAAAAATCACTGATGAACATTAGATATGAATTATTTTAAATAAAATGGTTTGTGGTGACTCCCCTAGTACATCTGGTTTGTAGCAAACTGAGAAAGTTTTGGTTTGGTGTATATTTAGCTTTGTCAGGTTTTTTTTAAATTATATTTGCTACTGTCTAATCCCCAGATACTGTTCCCACAGGCTTATTTTTTCCAAGACAAGATGTCTGACAAGTCTCTCCCACTTAAGGCTGTCCTCCAAACTGTTAGCAATGATTTTTCTAAAAAAACACAAACCAGATTTTGTGGTTTCATTACTGAAAATTCAATGCTCTCTATTGCCCACAAAATAAAGTCTTCGCATTCCTAATCTACCATGATTTAGCTGTCAATTGTCCTTCCTGCCTTACCTTTTATCATCCACAACACAGTACAGACATACACACACAGAGACATACACACATACACACCTCACAACAATGTATACTCTATGCTCTCTTTCAACATAGAGGCTAGTTGTTCCTATTAAGTATACCCTACAGACAATTTTTTATATTGTAATTTTGCTCAAGCTGAACCCTCTGCTAAAATGAATAACCATTTCACCAGCCCTGCCATAGTTCCACCTATTCTTCATGGTATTAATTATAGCCCAACTGTTAAAAAAAAAATCTTCCCAGATCCTTCTATTTGAGATTTTTTTATCTCCCTTCTATCCCCACGGTATTTTGCTTATGCCTTTTTCTGTGCCCTTTCTACATTCTTCCAAGTAGATTTGTCTACTAGTCTATTTCCCTTGCCAGAGTGTTGGAGAGTGGGATTCCTGAAGGCAAAAACTAAGTCTTTTTCCAACCTTCTAGCTTAATGCTTAGGAAGTAGTTGGTTATCTTTAAGCTTGTTGAATTAAATTGGATTGTATTTCCCCTGTTGGAGAGCGTCCAAATTTATCTTTGACCAAAACTCATATCCCTTCTATCTCCCATAATGCTTCCTCTGCTAAACTGTCCCTTTAGTCTCTAATCTTCGTGGCCTAGGCCCAGAGTGTGTCTTTGCTGGAACTCTATAATCAATATAAGCCCTAGAAACTTGGCTATTGGATTGGGTGAATACATTTGCTGCTACTAAATTGGGAGCCTTGGGAAACTTGTAGCCACAGCTTAGGAAGCATAGCAATGTATCTTCTGAATAGTTCTTAGGGCCCTTTGTAGGTAGAAGACTTGACCCAACTTTGTACCTGGGGCATCTAATGGTCCTGGCCATCAGTGCTGATTTCTTCGGGGAAATATAACTGATATGATAATTCCCATTCTGGCTTCTCAAACCCAGAGGTCTTCTCAATATTTCACAAAGCTTACTAAGACTACTTAATCAAGTTTGTGATCAGTTTTATGTGGAAACACTGACTTTTCTCTTGCTGTGTGTGTGTTGATGCTACTTTATTCTTTATACAACTGAATATTTTAGTAAATAGAGCAAGAGAATTATCTTTAAATATTGTTTACAGAAAGAAATTTGACATTAGTTCAAAATAATTACTGGGCTGCCTCATCTGACGTAGCTTCCCCTTGCCACTGAACTGTAGGAATATCCTACTTGGTGTTATGTCCAGTGTTTCTTCCATTCGTTGGCTTCTCGGTAAAGTCCAGTGCCACGGCTCCAAAATTATGCTGTAGAAGTCGTTTTATCCTTCCATTGGCCAGCTTGGTGGCCAGACTCATTTGAATGTGCAGAAAAAAAACCCAGTTTTAACTGGATGTGTTTGTTCCTGAATTCTGGTAGTATGTATTTCACTAATCAAGAATGTTTTTCAATGAGTCTGTTAATGCTTAATGCTTAATGCTTAATCACTGTTTAGTATACATTTTTTCTCCAAGAGATGGTATAGCTTCATATGAGGTTCAGAGTAAGACCTGCATTCAAGCAGGACCTCTGTGATTTACCCACTGTCTTCATATGGGGGAAAAACTGACCTGAGTTTGGCCTTTCTCATCTTTAAAATGGGATTTATAATATCTTCTGACATTGTTATGAAGGTTTAATTAAATAAGATAATTAGAGTACCTTGGCACACAATGAGGACTTGATAGTTGGCAATCATTTTCATCATTTCAAACTATAGGGTCCAAGAGATAGAAATAAGAAAAGATGTCTTTGGTGGCAAAAGGATTAGAAACTGTTGGAATCAAGATAGCTGCTTGGCTTACCTTAACTGCTATGATACTATTATTTAGTGCTTGCAGATTATTTGAAAAGCAAGATAAATAGTATAAGTGCTTAGTGGCAACATTAATAGATGTTGTTTCATTTTAATGTTGGGAAATGGGGAATATCCAGAAAAAGAAATCTGAAAGTGCTCTCATTCGGGTAAATCCTAAAAAATACTTCTCTTCATTTAAGTTGAGAGGTTTCTGTGACACCCAGGGCTGCCTTTCAACAGATATAACCATATGTGTTCTCAATTTTGATGAAATCTGATCATGACTTAAGCCTGTGTTATCCTTGCCGAGTGACAGCTGACCTCAGCCTTTTCTGTGTGCTCTGCATAGTTCACCTTTCAGAAAAAGAGGTCTGATTTCTAAGTAAAGTGTTTCTCTTTGTTCTTTTCCTCTTTTTATTTTCTTTGTATGTATTTATTTTAGGGAGAGAGAGAATCTAGATTACAGTCTTTGAGTTTCTTTTCCCTGGGTAAGAGGGTTTCCTGGAAATTTTTATTTTAATTATTATTGGCGCTCAAGAAGAAAAACTTTCTCAGCTTTAGAGGAGCAAAATATAGTCAAATTCATGCATATTAAAAATGATAAAGTCATCTTTTTATACAGCCATGAAAAATAATTATGATTAGTAACACAATAAAATATTTGCATTGAATAACATAGTCAAACGATTCAACAATATTTTTAAATTAATAGGAAAAATGTCAATACCCATTAGGTAAAAAGGCAAAAAAAAATGTGAACTGTTATGTATTGAGAGATATAATTAGTAAACTAAAATAGAAAATGTTGTTCAGTACGAGTAATTCAAGTACATGCAAATTAAAGAACCCCTGAGATATCATCATATACTGACTACAATATACTTTTTCAATTGAGGAACAGTAAATTTGGTTCCCTCATCATTGCTGGAATTATAAACTGCAATAACCCATTTGGAAAATGGTGTTGCTGTCTATGTAATCCCCCCTAGTTTTGATCACCTTCACCTTGCTGCCTGCTCTAACCAATGTCAGCCTCAGAGCCACCCTGATCCTGGACCCTCCTCTAATCTCATCCTGGACCAGCTGAGTCTTCACACTTTTCTTCCTGTGACTTACTGCTTCATCCCCTGTAAGAGGATCTCTTCCTTCCTTCTCCTTCCTTCCCTTTATAAAATGCCACTCATTTCCTCTTGCCTGATGCTATGTATCTCAGTGTCACCAAGGGCTCTTTCCAGGCCCATTGGCCACAGGACAGTTGGCTGGTGAAATTGCTCACATCACGTCACCCCCACAGGGTGAATAGAAATAGAAACATTAGTGACTGAGGCTAAAAAAGCTTAGGGAGTAGATTTGAGCTCTAAAACTGGGAAAGCAAATCTGAAAGAAACTGAGCCCTGAACCAGGGCTAGACATCTTGAATTTTCTAACAAACCATGATCTACTTAGATTTGCCTTCTGAGAAACTTTCTCATTAGGGTAACCCCAATATCCCAACTTCTTTTTCAGAATCATGAATATTAGGCAGTTAGAGAGGAAGATCCTTACCCATTAATATTTTGTAGGCAGTTAGAGAGGAAGTTAGAGAGGAAGATGGTAGGCAGTTAGAGAGGAAGATCCTTACCCATTAATATTTCCATAGTCTTAATTTGCTTAAAATTAGTTTAAATCCTATGTATTAAATTGATTTAACTCTCTCTGGATTGTTTTAGAGGTGACAAAAGACCATATATATAAATGAAGAAATGTTTGGCAAAAAGAAAACACCTTTTAATGACAAACTACCCTATCCTTAACTGTAAAGCAAGATTCCCAAGAGGGGGATCTGTATGGGGTCCAGGAAAGCTGCACTGAGAGTCCAAAATATCCCTTCCCCATTGACACATACACAAAAGGAGACACATGTAGTCACCCACACTGTACCTTAGATTTTGATAACAGTGAGATCTGGTGAAAATAGACTTTCAAGTAGAGCTTTGCCAGGGAGGAAATGTTGCAAAAGCCCAATGTGCATCACAGGGTATGGATGCAGCCACAGTGGAGAGGGCAACAGCCAGGTTGCTCCCTGTTGGTATGATCTCTGGCTATCTCATTCATCTGTTTCCCCCACATACACTTTCCCATCATGGCCCTGCAGCTTTCCTTCCCAACAGTCCAAACAAGTGCTTGAGCCATGAATAGTGTACATCTAATAATGTTGGTAATCCTGTATTTAAAATTCTTCTTTACTTTTGGCAGAACTGGCTTATGATCTGGATGTGGACGATACTCCTGGAAGCAAGCAACATGTGAATCAGAATGAGAATGAGATCGTCATCATCTCTCGCAACGGTGGGAATGGCCCTTCTCCCCTGAAGATTCTAACCAGCTTGGCGATCTATGTGGTGTGCTTTTTCTTCCTGATGCACTGAATTCCTAGTGCACAGCACCCGTGCTGCCCTTCAGCACCCTGTGGTCTTCCTCTATAACAGGAGCCACCTTTTTAATTTTTTTTTTATATTTTTTAATCTCATATACCTCCTCTAGCCATTAAGTAGAAGACTAACCATGTGTTATGTTTTTGAAATGAAATGGGATTTTTATGAGGCAGGTACATTTTAGTAGTAGTAGTAGTAGTAGTAGTAGTAGAGATTGCCCTTTTGTAAAGAAGAAAAACCAAGTTGTGCCAAATAATTTTTCTATGTTTGGCTGCTAGAACATGGTTATCATGTGTATCTCTCTTTCTCTTTTTCTCTTTGCATGGATTTCTTTGGAACAAAAAAAATAAATAAACGTCAAAATGCATTTGGGTCTTTTTTGTAAGCTCTCATGTATGGTGACTATGTATTGCTTTTCCTCCTTCTCACCTGGCTTTATATTCAGCATAAGAAAATCTCATTAGTTGCCAACAGGGACCTTGAAACCTATTGGCTTAGTGTGTATATTAATCCTGGTCCCAAACCCCAGGACACACCCAATCCATAATCTCCATTTTGAAACATTGGGTTAGAGTGTCTTGTCTATAAAACTAAAGGTATTTCAAAAAGTTCCACTGCCTCTTTATAAATTTCACTTTTCTGCAAATGCTTTGCCCAAATAGAAATCTTCTGTTTGGGTCGTGTACAGATGCATGAATGATATTTCCTTATCTTCAAAAACCAGAGAAATAGATCCAAACAGTGGTAAACAAATCATTACCCAAGCTTCATGCTTTGTCTCAGGCTTGTTCTCTGTCACACTTCTCCTGGGGCTGCTACATGGCAGGGCCAGCAGTTGCCCTGGGTTAGATTGCAAAGGTTGTCACCAGAAAACCCATGATTTCTAGGAAGCAATGCTCACTCTTGGCTCTAGGTGGGCTTCTTCAACATTTGTTTATTTAACAACTAGGTTTTCATACCCGTTGGGTATCAGATGCTGGAGACAATAGGGGAAAAAAAAAACACAGATTTGATCCTTGATTTCACAGAACTATAGGTCTGGCACCAATACAAATTCCACACTAGTTTTTTTGTCAATTGTAAGCCCAGTATAATTACTTACATTTTCTTTTACATATATAATATTGCAAATAACATTGACACTGTGCTGATATTTGGACATTCTGCTGTCAAAGAACCTCTGGAATCACCAACTTTCCATTGTTTATAATGCCTAGCATATTGTTCATTTGCCAGGTCAGGTGAATAAAAACATTATTGAGTTTTTTTCTTGATAGTTAGCAAACTAAGATCCATTTTTAAAATTTTATCTTTATTATTAGAAGTATTACAGATGTCCCCTATTTTCCCCTATTGACACCCTCCATCCCACTCCCACCTCCCTACCCCAACCCAGACTTTGACTGCACTATTGTCTGTGTTCATGGGTTATGCATATAAATTCTTTGGTTAATCTAATAGAGTAGGAACTCAACTCCCACTTGAGGGATCAGAGAAGCTGAATAAGTATGAGGAAGAGAGGGTGAGACAGAGTGAAGAAGTTTGAGCAAAGGTCAAAGACAGGAATGGGAAGTCCTCTTTGATTTTAGGAGGTGGTCCCAGCCAGGATCTCTGATTTCTGTCCAATGGCAGTGGGGTCACCATGTGGGAAGCCAGAGGTATAATTTCTCACAACTTTTCATTCTCCCTTCCTGCTGTCACTAACACATTTCTGTCAGGGTCGGTCTCCTGCAGAGCACAGGTTTCCAATATCCATTTTCATCCTTTGCAGAAATTTCCACAAACACAAAATGAAAATATTTAGTTCAGTGTTTCCTTCCGTTGGTTTTGTTGAAATTAAAACTACAATTAGTCTTGTTTGTTAATATGGTTACAATGATTTGTAGCAGTTGGTAAGACTTGAAAGGAAATTCTTCCTCTTTTTTAAAACATCATCATTTCTGTATTTAACTGGGATTTACAAGAATCTTTTGTTCTTTGATTCACAAAATCTAAGCACCAGAAAGGTTTGTTCCTTGGACTTGTTATGATATTATAACAGTACCAGACCATTAGAAGGCTCTAAAGCCCAGTTATCACCTAATAACTGTCTCTGTCATTCTACAGGAAGGTTTTCACTTTTTTAAAAAAATTCTTTTCTTTCATTTCTCTCTCTCTCTCTCTCTCTCTCTCTCTCTCTCTCTCTCTCTCTCCCCCTCCCCCCCCCCCTCCCTCCCTCCCCCCCCCCCCCTCTCTCTCTCTCTCGTTTCCTTCTTTCTTTCCTTCTTTCTTTCCTTTCGTTCTTTCCTTCTTTCTTCCTTCTTTCTTTCCTTCTTTCTTTCCTTCTTTCTTTCCTTCTTTCTTCCCTCCCTCCCCTCCCTCCCTCCCTCCCTCCCTCCCTCCCTCCCTCCTTCCTTCCTTTCTTTCTTTTCTTTCTTTTCTTTCTTTCTTTCTTTCTTTCTTTCTTTCTTTCTTTCTTTCTTTCTTTTAGAAAGAGAAATGGAGGAGAGAGAGAAACATCCACCATCTGCCTGCTGCACACCCCCTACTGGGGATTGAGCCAGCAACCCAGGTATGTGACTTAACCAGGAGTCTAACCAGGAACCAGTGACCTCTCGGTGCCTAGGACAACACTCAACTACCTGAGCCATACCAGTCGGGGCAGGAAGGTTTTTAAAGTCCATTTTAAAAGAGATTGTCAGTTTTTACACACACCTCTTATTCACTTCCTATCTCCAGACCTCAGTTTCCTCTTCTAAAATGGAGAATCAGGACAATATGTTTAGCCTCATTGTTGCTCTGATTTTGTGACACCATTGATTCTGAAAGGAAGTAAGTGCTAGTCCCTTTGCCCAGCACTGGTGTCATAAGGATGCTGTTCCCATATGCCTCGCAGGACTTTTCTAGAATAAGATCATATTTTATATACTTCAGTTCCCAGAACATGAACCAAGCCAGCCAGTGTTTTTCCTGTCTTGGTACACTGTCTGCCAGCTATAGTCCATTCAGACTGAGTGATGAGGGGCAGAAAACAACTTCTCTGTAATATCTATGACCTGCTTTCTTCAGCTAAATAGTTGGGATTAAAATGGATAATCATACACATTAAAAATTCACCATCTCTTATTGACATTTACTTTACTCAATAGCCTATATCCTTTAGCTTTTTATCCATGTTTTTTCCTATCCCTCTCTATGTTTTATGCCTCTAGTTCAGAATCTAGTTTCACTGCTAGTTGGTGGCTTTCATCTTTGAAGTGTTTACTCTGCTCTTTGATTTAAACTTCGTACACATAAATATGTAACAATAAGCTTGGAAGCTGGGAAGTGGCCCAACCTTGTTGGAATTTTCCAGGCCTCTTTCTCACTGGACGCACATGTGAACCTCCAACAGCTCAACTCTGGTTCTTGAACCAGGTTAAATCACAGAATAACACACCAAATCCCTAGACTGCAAAGGAAGTCCCACAATCTTTGATTACCACCTTAGGAGAGGTCACAACACAGTCTATTTCGTTGCTGGATGCCTCCAGTTTTTGTCAAATGCATTTTTTAAAAAGAAATATATAGAGACAAAAATTTTAACAATACATAGTCATAAAGTTTTTAAAATGATATTTACTGCCTGGCTAATGTGGTTTAGTGGTTGAGTGTTGACCCATGAACCAGAAGGTCACTGCACAATTTCTGGTCAGGGCACATGCCTGGGTTGCAAGCTCAATTGTCGGTTGGGGGCATGTGAGAGGTGGCCAAATCAATGTTTCTCATCATTGATGTTTCTATCTCTCTCTCCCTATCCCTTCCTTACTCTGAAACCAATAAAAACGTATTAAAATTATATTTACTCAATAATTCCATATCCTATAATAGATATTTATTATTAAATAGTCCATATAGACATTTACTATTAAAGTTTTTATTTATATCCTTGCAAACAGCTTTCCTTTTCTAAACAGCTCCTTCAGCCCCTTATGCCCTGCTCCATTGGGCCAGTTGTCCCACAGATCCCCAAGACCACTACCAGAACAGTTCTAGAATGGAGATATTTGCTTGGAATCCACATTACCCTCTTCATGAATGATGAGCTTCTAGCCATTTGAAACACCATCCACTCACACACACACAATGTTTTTGCAAGAATGTTTGCCAAGCCAGATCTTTTTCCATCTCATACTTGTATAATTGTTTTTTCAAAACTAAATTCCAAGGGCTTTTGATTTTACTTGTTCATATTTTGAGCCAAGCACTATATAAAGAGTGTGTGTGTGTGTGTGTGCACGCGTGTTGGGGGGGCGGGGGTGGGGTGGGGGAGAGAGTGACGTACTAGGATGGAAATTTTCTTCTTGCCAAGGCCACAACATTTTTGAAAGTCCTCTTTTTGAATTGCTGTTGAACCAATATATGTACCATACAGGAAAATCAGCCTCATTTATTTATAGTCACACCTTGTTTGGAAACAAAATAATGTTCTTCAGCTTCATCACACACATCATTCACTAGATTTGCTTCCAAGTAGCTTTAAGCTGCTTCTAAAAATCAAGTGTGCCTCCAAGGAATAAAGACCTTCCTGAGAAGAATCCAAAGAATGTGCTATTGGCTATGGAGGGTTCTTTTCCCAAAGAAAAATTCTAGAAAATGTAAGGAAACTGTACCTCTTGGAAGGACACAACACTAATTTATGTAGATATAGATCTGCCAGGTTTGCCAAGGAACCAAAAAAAAGCTCAATGCTTCCTATTCACTGTTACATATTTAAAAATAAATGTACTGATTTGAAAGATTCCCTTTAAAAATAGAACAGAAGGCTGGCATGCAGTTGGTGTTTAATAAATTTTTAATGAAACCAGTATTTATTATACAAGTATTTATTGAGCAATACTTTGGGCCAGACCCTGTATCATTAACTAAAGATACAGCATATGAGACAGACAGTCCCTGCTCTCATGGAGTTTCACATCAATTGAGGAAAAGAAACAAAAAATTACAATACAATATATGTAAACACTATAACAGGAGTGTATGTGGGATGCACAGGAGAGCAGAATGGGGTACAATTTACAAACAATGGATCAGAAGAAAGTAGAAGAAAGGATAGGCATTGTCCCATTTTAAAAGAAAGTATATAAATTATCCAGGTTACAAAGGGGAGAAAGTGTCTAAGGCAGAACAATATGACACAGGTCCATAGTAGACCATGCACAAGGCTGTTAATTGTTGTGTTACTTGCCATCATGGGGTATTGCAGGACACTTGGGTGCCTATCCATATAAGAGAGGAGAGGTACAATGTAGAGGTCCACAGAGAACTGTGTTGTGGCCAGAAACAATGAACTATATGTACACCCAATAGTATAGATATATCTTAAAATCACAGTGTGGGTAGAAATG